GTATGGGCGAGTGTTGCGCATGACCAGAGCGCCCTCTCACTTGCGATGCCAAGGCTCCTCCCGGCATGGTCCTGGGTGGGTGACACCCTCCAAAGTCGATTGGACATGCAATGCCTAGCATCCATGCTGCGACATGCGGCGGCCGTCCTAGAAGCAGATTTTTCTGCAAGAGAAGACCCCTCAGCACCAACTCCACGATGTAGAAGATCAGGAAAGCCTGGAAACAGACACTTCCTTGCTAATGCTGAGGTTTGCAGAGAGCAGGGTTGCTGGCCTGGTCAACCCAGAAGAAAAGGTCCTTGTACCTCGGAAAAGCACACGAACCAACCGTGACGCAGCTCCAGAAGCATTTCCCACTTGCGCTTCTTGGGGCCAGGGTTTCGGGATTTGCGGTCTTAATCAAGTGCTGTCTCAGCTAGGTCCAAGCGACCGTTCATCCGTCATCTCCTTGACCAAAACTGCGACATTCAGGACAACGACTGCAGTGGAGACCACTGTGAAAACGTTTCCCTCCACAAAACGGAGGCACCTGCTGCAAGAAGCGTGGACGAGATTGAATATCGTCTGAAATGTTGCTGCGGCATTGCGGGTTGCATGGGTCAAATCGTGTTTACTCATCTCGCCTAGGCCCGTGAAACGACCGAGCTTGTTCTTGACCAAGCTCGAGTCGATCCAGCTTTCGCAGCTCGTTCTCAAGCTTCACCTGTCTGACGGAGCTGTCAAACAACATGTCGCACCCGTTCAAAGTACAAGTTCCTGTACATCATAGACTCCAGAATCATCCCGGCGACATGTGAAAAAACGTTTTGATGGTACACAGAAACAGCGCAAGGAGGGCTGTCTGACAGCACGGTGGCTGAAGATGACTGGTTCAATCACAGGTGTTTGTTGTTCGGTTTGGATTCGGCAAGCACACACAGCAGCGAAGGACCTTCAAAAATCCATTGGTGAAGACTTGAAACATTGCGAGGTTGGAATTCTGGCCAAAAACTTACCGCCAGGGTCCCAGGGTCTGTCTCCAAGAGCCTTGTCAGTCTCACAGGAATTGAACCGATACCTCAAGCAGTCTCGGCTACCTGAAAGGAGGTCAGGCAAAGCACGATCGGTTCTCTGCTTAGCTTGCAGCTACCCGAACCGTTCAATGATGCCGAAGCATGCCGAAGCATTGTCCGCCTGCAGGTCTTGGATGTCTTCCTCCAGACGGCCCTTTCGAATCTGATACTTCTCTTCGATGCGCTCCAGGTGCTCGCGCTCCTCTGCCTCGTGACCAACAAGGAAGAATCAGGGCACAACACTCGCCGCTGAACGTTAACAAAAAACTTGCATACCCTTCAAGCGGTGCTGTGAGGTTCGAAAGCAAATTTGACGCGTCTCTGCCCGCGCTCAAAGATTACATGGAACCTCCCCAACGCAGAAACAGCGATGCTCCGGTAAGAGCCAGAAAATTTCTCGACTCGCAATCGCAGACGGCAAACCTCTTCTTGTTTATACTTCTTTTTGAGGCTTCTCAAGTCCTGCAGAGCATGGCAGTGTCACAGAGCAGAATCTGAGCAGAAACCTTAGCCTCCCGCAAGTAGGCTGCACTGCCCCGTAGTTCGATACTCCTGCACCTTCTGACGAGAACGGTCATTCCCATCAGAGTCGCCATCCAGGGAATCAGAATCACTATCTGGAAAGCCTGGGCACACTGCCGGAACCTATCAAAGCCAAGTGGGCAGCAGGAGGGATCGCGAAGGATTCAAGCACGGGTACTGAGAAGAACAAACAACCACACTGTCGTCGACAAGGGTTGATTCGTGGATGGACGACGTGCGCAGCAAAAACCCAAGAACTGCCTTGGAAAGCTTACCGGTCGAGCATCACAGCGTGCTGCCACTGGCCCTTTCCAGATCAGGACTTCGAGAGTTTCCACACCCACACCTTGTGTAGTTCCTGACACAGTCGTGCCAGACGGCCGCAGGCATCCGCAGGCTACAAAAGCTGGTCAGGCAGTCCTGGAGTCTCGAGAAGAGGTTTCTGAATCCGTATCAGATCGACAGCTCATGGCGACTACAGCCGAATTGAGCGGCCAGCGGCGCGGCTCTGTCAGTGTGGCCAGTTTTATATCACATAGAACACAGCTCGATAAAGAAAAAAAGCCTTCAACCAGTCTAATTGGCTAATGAATCCTCGCGGCTGAACCTGCATCAGAGCCATACATGCTGCTGGCACTGCCAGCGACAGAGAAACACGACAGCAACGGCCGACGACTTGAGGCATCGCACCCCACCGGCGTCGGCGACAACATTCAGCAGCTGAGAGACAGGAATCCTCACGCCAGAACGAGCCGGTCAAAACAACAATTCTGAGTGACTAAATGTACAGCTGCCGTCACTGGGTGGGACCCTTGGTGTGGACCTGGGAGGGGGACCCGCTGCGCACCTGTGCATGCATGTAAACAATAGTGATATACCGGACCCAAAGGAACCTGAGATTCGTTACAATGCTTGAGTCGGACCATCTTCGAAAATACTGGCATTACTGCGATCCTGCCGCCAGTCTGCTCGACCAGGGCATCGAACGCCGCGTCCCGTCTATCACCGGCCTGCGAGACTCGGGCGCGGTCCCACGCTGCAACAAACGTCCTTGTGGCTGCTTGTGGCCTTCGGGCTCCTGAAGAGCTCGGCATTCTTTGCCAAAAAGGCCTCCGGGGAAAAGTTCTGCGAATGTACCAACTCTGCAGACTTTTGAAGATTGAAAGGAATCTTCGACAGGCCTCCGGTCCACCCCATCTCCGCTCGACCAGATCCTTCAGAAAATGAGTCTAGATCTTGGGGACTTGGAGAAGCTGAGCCCGTCCATCAGCTCGTTCCAGGCATGTTGTCCGGAGAGGCTTGCCATGATCTTTGGGCAAGTCCCCCCGAGCTTGGCTGGTGCGGAGATCCGACTTGATGAGTTAGATGCCACAGCTAATCGAGGACTCCCAGTGGCTTGTCATGACGGCTTTTAAACATCGACTGACGGTTCCAGTTTGGAAGGCGCTACTTTGAGCACACAAGTTCAGCCATCTGGACTCATGAAGTGCCCAACCCCTTCAGCGCAGCAAGAGCGTGTGCCCAGAGTGTTTCGACATGCTGCACGAAGCTCACATGTGCTCACATTAACTTGTAGAACTGTCGGCTGCTGGCACGTGTGGGCAAGTGGCCAAAATTGTGGTTGTGGGCTTGGCCGGACGGGAGACATGATAATGGAAACCTCAGCCACAGCAGCATCCTAGAAGACGGATCTACAAAATCTGATGCTTCTGATCAGACCCACAAGCGGTATCCGGTTCGACACCGCTCCTTCCGATTGGCGGGCATCGTTAGCAAATCCTCCAGTGCCAGGTTTTCGGACTGGGTCGCGGAGATTGATTAAACAATTAGCAGCATTGATGGGCCGAATTGGTCAACAGTCTTTGTCGGGCCTCAAATTTCGGCCAGGCATCACCTCAGATGCGCACGCAGGCACGTCTCACTTCGGACTTGAACCTGGCTAACCGGATCGAACCTCATTCGTAGATGGGCAGGTCTGAGCTAGCGTAATGCAATGCACCTATTCTCGAGTCGATGCAACGGCAATAAGCCACTATCCTCGTAAACTGTTACACAAGGCAGAGGGGTCCAGTGCGCATCCACTTCCCGGTCCCGGTCCAGTGCGCATCCACTGGACGGGTCGGAGCGGCAACTCCAGGGGTTCGGGTTCAGGGTTACGGGTTTTTGGGGGTTAGTGGTATGGCTTTTTGGGGTTGAGGGTTGAGGGTCTTGGCGTATAGAAATTGTATAGGGTTTGGGTCCGAGGTTTTGACCGAAAGTTTGGGGTTGGCGGGGCTGGCTGGGCTCTGGGCTGGGCTGGGTTGGGGGGGGATAAAGATGCAGTTCGAAGCGAAATTCGCACAATTTCTATTTATCTTGTGTTCTTGAGAGTTTAGGGTTTAGGGTTGAGGGTTCAGGGTTCTTGGTTCAGGGTTTAAGTTAGGGTTTGGGCGTTAGGGTTTTGGCTTTGAGGGTTTTGGTTTAGTTAAGCAGCTCCGGATCGAGCAGTTTCTAGTCGAGCTCCTCTGTAGGATTTGAAACAGACCCACCCGCTCAAAGAATCCCATGACCTTGGAAAATACGATGTCTCATTATTATACTGCCCACAGTTCAGATCAACCTTAGCCGCCATGTCTTTTGCCTTAGAGACATATGACCATAAAGCCTGAAACCCTTGACCCCGGAACCCTAAAGCCTGAAACCCAAAAGCATGAAACCCTAAACCCTGAAACTCTGAAGAATGAAACCACAAAGCCTGAAACCTTGACCCTGGAACCCTCAAGCCTGAAACCCAAAGCATGAAACCCTAAACCCTGCTACAGCCTGAAACCCTGAAGCATGAAACCAGAAAGCCTCAAACCCCACACCTGGAGCCATAAAGCCTGAAACCCTAAAACTTGACACCCTAACGCCTGAGCATCGAAAAACTGCAACCTTTTACCCTGAAGCCCCAAAGCCTGAAACCCCAAAGACTGGCAACCCTTAACCCTGAAACCCGAAAGCCTGAAACCCTTAGCCCTAGAACCCTAAAGCCTGAAACCCTAAAGCCTGAAACTCTACAACACGAAACGCTAAAGCCTGTCTGAAACCTTTCAGGCCTTGGGGTGCGGGCATACACTGGACCATAGTGTGGATGCACACTGGACGGAACGTGGGCGTACGCTCGACACCCCCCGCCCAGTTACATTTCTCCTACATCTTGGGTTGCTTTGGCACTGCAAACCGCTACAACGGCGAGAGCCGCCATCTAAGTGTAAAATGCCAAAGGATAAGAATTGACATGACTGCAGCCTACCAGCAGATATCGCCTCCAAGTACCGCTCTTCCTCAAACAACTAGTCTTGCATTCGGCCGTGGGTCTGCAAGAGTGCTTGGAGATGTCGCCTGTCACGAAGACACGCAGCAAGCCGTGCAATCGCACTATATCGCACTATTTGTTGCAGGGCTCTACCTCCAGAGCTTCATCGACTGGCTGCTGCCATATGTCTTGAGACCTTGGTGCTTGCAAGCGCTGCGGTGAGAAGCAGTTCGTGCACTGAAAGCTCCGGACACGGTCTCCGTGCCGGCCACAGCCTCAGCCCGGCTATTGTCGAAGCTGACTTGATGTGCAAAATCTGCATTCTGCGTTGCCACCAACAATTGAGAGAAGGGCTGCCAGCGTCTTCCAGAGTCTATCGCCTAGTCGTGTGTCAGCTATAAGCCCGTTCAGCGCGACCTCCTTGATCGACCGAGATTGAACGTGAGGTTTAAAGGTTCCCACCATCTCAAATTGGTCCACCAGCCCCCTTTCGGGCATTCGCTCGGCTCCTTTGGGCATCCCTGGGATGCCAGAGCGCGAGTGTTCATCGAAGATGTCGGAGTGGAGGTCCCAGTGGTCTCTGACGCCTCTTTCCTCCGGCTTGTTCTCAAAGGCCACGCCGGTCCCCAGCGAGTGGCTCCTTCGCAGCCGGAAAAGCGACTCCTTGTGGCTCCAGTCGCTCTCCAGGGTTGGCGAGAAGCTGACAGTTCGCGCCTCGCGCGCCTCAGATCGACCACTCTTCATGAGCATAAGCCGGCATAAGTGGCATAAGCGTAACATCTGCACTCAAGAGACGGCGCTCTTCGGCTGACGAAGGTCTTCCTGCACCAGGCATGTCGCTAGTCTGCGCTGGAGCCTGCTAGATCTTGATGAGCCGGTCCTGTATCTTCCTCGCCTTTCGGGATCTTGGGCCGCGACGAGGAATTGGGGGTAGCAGTCCAGGAATGCGCAGCAGGCGCCCGTATTTCAGCGGCTCTTCACGCTGATACCGCAGCAGGTGATCGCCACCTGAGGTCTGCACAACAAGTTCGAAACATGGCGAAAATAGAAGCGGATGTTCCTTCCTTGCGAAAGGGCTTGGAGCCACAGGAGACGAAGTCTAAGCCTTCTGAGTTTGGAGCTGGCAGGCAGAGAGCGCATGAGTTCGTAGCGCATGCGAAGTCGCAGGGCTTTCGGTCTCACCAAGATCTTCACCTTTTTGGAACCTGAGTGCCACAGGCGGACGGCAACAGGCAGACTCCCAAACCCTGCTCTTAAAACGTCTATGCGTCTATGCGTCTATACTCTCTCTGAAATGAGAGAAGCGGCCGAGCACTTCCGGCAGGTTCTGGGACGATGGATCTTCATCCAAGAAAGACTCATTTGCGGAGGAGTAGTCAGAGGATTCCTCGCCATCCTCGGAGCTCTCCACTTCTTCCTGAGGAAAACTCCTGAACGGGCACTGTAAAGGAGAGCTGACGATTAGTCTGCTCTCTACTCTTTCTCTCTTTTGTCTCTTGTCTCAGCTCCTGTAGGCTTCGAGAACATTTTCCATCACAGAAATCTCATCGGGCGTCTCTCTCAAAACCGACAGCATTGTTATCTTCACTGGCGACAGCCACGGAATCAGAAGGCGATCCAATGCCGCATGGACCGCTGCCTGGGGTTGAAGTTCTGAGAGAGCGGACACACGTACTGCTGCAAAGCTTCATGCACTTCTGCTGCCAAGGCACAAGAGTGAAGAGAAGCAGAAAGAAAAGTGGCGCAGCCCAGGTCACTCCATCTCCCATCGTGACGGGACTGACCACAGCGAGCATGCAAACTGTCATGACCACGCCTGCACGCGGAACGCCAGCCATGAAAAGTCGCAGAAGCCGACAATTAGCCGTTTCCATACATAGAACATTTAGAAACTTAGAAACGCATCCAAAGCACTGAGCATCTTCTGAAGTCTTCTGGCGCGGGCCAAGAATCGCACACGGAGCTTCAAGTTCTTCTCTCCAGCTGTCAGGTACTTGCGCAAAGCCACTTCTGCTTCCTGCGAAGTTTCCGACGTCGTGATAGCCGGTGCAGAAACCGTGATCACGAGATAATTACATAGAAACCAGTTGTGCCAACGCGCGAAGATTGCACGAATTCAGCCGGGTCATGCGCCCTGGCCTTGTAGCTGAGGCCGTTGTTCACGTAATCCTTCAAGAACCGACGCGTGCAAAGTCATCACATTTCACACAACGATTCGAGAATGTCCTGGATCCTGTGTTTCGTGATGTCCTCGGCAAGGGAATGACACTGACAAGCCAAGAGAGTTCTAGGCACGGCTTTGCACAGCTTCGCGGAGAGTCCCCAAGCCCTGCGCCAAACTGCTGTCAATGTTGCGAAGAGGAGGCCAGTTGCAGTACCTTCAATGATTCAAAGCCGAGAGGCTGCTCTAAGCGTACGGTAAACACAGACAAGGCCTCGCTGGAAGTGACAGGATAGAAAAGCCAGGTAGCCAAAGCCTGAGAGCCAAACAGCCCGCCCGCGCACTGGGATGCGTTTTCGAACAGGGCTTTGGCAGAAGCATCCCCACTGTGGCGGCCGTTGAAATTTGGGTCGTCGTGTAGTCCTCCTGGTCCAAATAACCTCGACCAGCCTGTCAGGGCAGCAAACGGAAACAACCCCGTTTTGCTCTCCGTGTGTCGGTTCCGTGCCTGTTTGACGAGCTCGCGGCAACGCCACCGAACTCGCAAAGGAGAAAGGTTTGCTCCCTGCCAGGATTCGGGCCCTCGGACTCGCTGCATTCACCGTGCGCGCATGTGCGCGCCCACCACGCCTCCTTCCACAGGCCGAGGACTGTAAAGGCACAAACCTTGCAGAAAAACCGCAAAGCATAAGAGGCCTGGGCGCAAAGCAAGCTTGCCTTTGACGACTCATAGAGCCGTAGCCACGGTTGGCGGAGCCACAGATGCACCTTGGGCCTCAGCGGCTTCAATGCCAGCTTCAGTGCAACAGCGTCAGTACCGCGAGCGTCTGTCATTCCGCAGTGCTCACTCGTGACTGGCTACAGCCTACGCGCTTCACTTCCAACTAGCATGATCGATACCGCATGATCAATTCAATTCAGGTTTTGGTTTCAATTGTGCTTCTGCGGCGGCTTCGCACTGTGCGCTTTCTGCTACGATGCATTGTCATGTTCTCGTCTTGACCCATACGAAAAGCTTATTGCCCTCCTGGTTCCTTTCACTCGCAAACTTAGCGACATGTTTCTTGACAAACAGTGCTGGATTATACGAACAAAGTCAAATCTACCCTGTAACCCTCTCGTGAACGACCCTTCCAGCAACTGTTGGAAACTGTTCCCTTGCCTGTTGGTGTGCATCTCACCATCAGAACTGCAAAGGTCTAGCAGTTGTGTAGAATCTTCTGTCGCGTTGCTTCTTTTATGGTGCAGTCTCCACAATACCGTCCCAATATTTCTCAAAACCCACAACATGCGACAAACGCACGTTCGTTTTTGATGTCCACTCTTACGGTTTGAGGCATTAGGTGGAGCTTGGAAAAGTAGTCGACGAGGGCAAAGGCTAAACTCCTATCCGCACGAACGTTCACGATATACCCACATGTTGGATGCATGTAGAGGCTGAAATGACTGATTGTGCGGGTGCGCGGGTCTAAGCGCCTTTAAACATAAAGTGAAAAATTGGAGCCAAGATGTGTCGTCGTGGGGCCTGCGTTTTTCGAGTAGACAACCATTTGTTCTACGGCTTTGGTATGTCTTCACCGACTTTCGTGTCGATGCGAAGTATGTATGCGTGGCACGCTGAGTACAAACTAGTTGATTATGATTCATGTCTTGACATATAGCGGCATGGTTAAGGTATACTGTCGCAGAGCTAATATGATTGTTCAAGCCATCCTACGTACACTGTCAATGTTATACAAGCTATACCCACACATTTCGGGCTTTGGATGTACCGCCCATCTTCTTGTATCAGGGTGCCCCATCACCTCCAATTGATTCGTTGGGTACAGGGCGCAGCTTTTGCCAGTTGAATTTGGGGCTTCTGACATCGTGTCACATGTTTAGGGTTGAAGTTTTTGCGTCCATCAGATCCTTTCGGGTTCGGGTCTGTAACTCATGTCACACTTTGGGGCCTGACGGACCTCCTTTTCGTGTTGTATCTGGGTCACCCGTCATCCTCTACTGTGGTTTGAAGAACAGGGGACGAAGCCATCATCTTTGTTATGAGTTTAGGGCCCAATATTTCCTATTAGGATTGTTGTTGTTGGACTGCTTTTTTGAGGGCAAGCGGTTAGGATAGAGGCCATGCAATCCATCATCTCCTTGGCGACTAGCTGCGACTAGCTGCACCCGGCGGGACGTGGAGCCAAGGCGAGCAGATGGCCCGGTCAAGCAGAAGCGTTTGCTTGCGTCTGGACGCAAAGAACAACAACAGGCAGGCCCGCCACCGGCAAAGCCGGCAAAAGGGCGAGAGAGCCTGCCATCCTCGTGGAAATTCTTGTGGCGAGGGCTCTTCACCCGACAATCGCGCATCAGGGTACTAAGCCAAACAAGCAACATGGCCTTGGGCATATGGGGCTGTGTGCCGCCGCGTGAAAATGTGGCGAGCGCTCCTCTGTAGATCCCACTGCAGATACTAGGTGCATAACACGACTACTGCGGCACCAAGTACTCACTCGTCATCACCTTGTTGCGGATAATGGTGAATGGCAGTTTCCCACAAAAGCAGGTCACATGACAATACACCCTCGGACGGAACACTGTGACCAACACCCGTCTCTCACGACGGGGCCAATCAGGATCGGCAATCAAGATAACAGTGTGTCTACACTACAACGGACTTCAATTATTGGGCATCGACGATCAACAGAAGATAAACACAAGCAAGTCAGAGAAGACATTTTTTGAGTCGATACAAGCCTTATAGACTTGAATTTTCCGAATGCGCTGCAATGAAGAAAGCTTCAAGGCTGTTGGAGTTCAGGAAGGCCCCGCTTTGCCATCCGAGTTTTCCGACCAAGCTCATGCGCTAGCAGAGCATCGGCTGCGAACAAAACCCAAATGGTCGATGTTCAGTGTTGGCACGATACGTCTACGTGTTGGAGCACGAATGATAATTGATGCTGTAACCGCTGTAGTTGATTCACTGCGGACAATTTTCGAACCTTTAACATCTGGAATTCCAAAATTTAGGATTGTTGTAGTGTAAAAGGCTTTATTGATTTGGAAATGTGCGAGATTTGGAAATTCCAACAGTTATTTCTGTAATGTCGCAAGTTTTTGCATGTTTTGAGGTTTTGGGAAGCCAGAAATTCCTAAGGGCGGGCGGGCTTCTGGAAAGTTTTGGAAATCTGCTGAAAGCTAGAGCTTTTTCTGGAGAACATGGACTTCCGCATATCCCAGAGGTACAGGTAGCCTGGAGTTTTGGGTGCAGGTCACTCAGGCGGGCCTACCACATCTATGATGCATACATACAGTTATATACACCCCGACAGTTGCTCAAAAGCCCGATCCTTTTCATTGACTGAGATTTGAGTCCTCGACTTGGGCACTGCGTTGTAGAGTGGCCGTGGCAAGACGGCCAGCCTCAGTTTCGTTTGAAACGCACAGGCAAGGACATTACAACGGTTGCGGGCCGCAAGCTGTATGACATCCACTTGCTTTCCTCCGAGTTCGGCAATGTCCTGGGCAAGACGAGCACCGTTTCAGCCTAGGCTACCGATGAAAAAGCCAACGTGAATCTTCCCGGTCCTCCCACATGTCGATGAGGGCACCCGCCTTCCCAAGCTCGCGCCTCAGGATAATTCACTTCACAGCTGAGCTGAAACGGCTCCCGTGAAAAGCAGCCTCTATCTGATTCCAAGAAAGGAGAAGGCATTTGCAGCGCCTTCTAGTCAGAGTCAAGTGCGATTGCAGTCTTTTGAAGCCTACTCTTGCCCGAGGCTTTTCCCAGCACTTCTCTGTTGCTTGAATGCCAATGTTCGCAAGAGCGTTGTCTAAGCACTTGTCACTTGTGTGCTGAGTCTTCCTTTTGCATGACCCTAACCTCCCGGATCAGATGCCCGGCTCCAAGTCTCGTTGATGAGGCTTCTGAAAACCCCCTTGCCGTTTCTATTTTGTGCGACTTGCAAGATCCTTTGCGGCAGCTTGTGGTGGAGGCGAAGCTGCTTTCGCACAGTTCAATCTCTTTCCGAATCTGCTCTCAGGCTCGCACAGCTTGTCCACGAGAAGGCCTTTCTGCAATGTGCCAAAGGGGTGCTTACCGGCACTCACCAGCAGGCCTCTGCGTGTCAGTCCATGCCTGCAGATGAAACATGCTTCAGCATTGAACCGCTCCCATCTGCCCGCAGGCGAGCAATCATGCTACAAACAAGGTAGTGCCACTGCAGGAGTTGCACGACGGCCACCCTGCAGGCCTGTGGTGCTTGTGCCGGTGTCTCTTCCTTATTCCGGGCGATTGAACTTTCCAGAGCTTCCACCACGTCGCGTGTTTTCTGCAGCCGAGAATCGGCCAATATCCCTGCACAAGTCGCACACAGGGCGAGCAAACACGCCTGCAACAGCTTGGATTGAGTTTCCTAACAAGTGCAAGTCCCACTGTACTCACTGTACAAGGACCACACCTCAGACAGGATCTCGCTGCATCACATACCTGAGTCTACCATCAGCCATCAAAGGGTCAAGAGGCCTGAAACAGTTCAATCATACTGTCTGAATCTGCCTTGGGCGTGGACACTGGAGTGTTGCATCGACTGTTACAGGTCGACGTTTTTTCCGACGACAGGAGCTTGGCTATGTCGTATGTCCGTGCAATGCAGCAAGTCGGAACACGATGTCTTGAAATGTGGGCAGACAGTCAGGCGATGCGATTCGGAGACGAAAGAGCGAGAACAGTGGAAACAAAATCGTGGCAAGAAGCCGGCTGGTCAGGTACCGGGAACATGTGGCGAAACTGCCAGTCTCCATGGCTAGCAGCTAGCATAAACCTGAACCCCTGTTCCTCAAAACTCCCATGCCACAAAGATATTCCACGACTTGAGGACGCACTGCATCTCTCCAGAACAGCTCCTAGCACCAACTCGGGTGACAAGAGTTCGCCGGCTGGCTCGCCTCCCTGCCAAGCTCCACAGATTGCCAGCTAAGCTTAGACATTCGATCAGGGTGCAAGTCCATGCGACGCGTGAAAGGAATCAAGGTGGTCAAGCTCGCAACCCTGGCAGATCAGAGTAGACATCAGCCCTTTGGTTCGAAACCCAGACCAAGCCCAATGAGGACGGAGCGATGAGTCGGACGCAGGAGATGAACACTCGGCTGGACAAACCCGAAAGGCGCTAAAACCGTCGAAGGAGCAATGAGTTGCTGGACAAGCCTGACATCACGCAGACGGTCCTCTCCCAAACCAACGAAAGCAACAAAAAGCTGCCTGTCTAGGGTTCACACGATTTCTCCTAGGCCTGTCACAGACTGGAAGAAAGTGCATGCTTCAGCCCGACAGACCCAAGTTGGTTTGTAATGCCCAAAACGTGCATCGAAAGGATGGCTATTGCACTGTGACCAAGTCACACATCTGCAGCTCCTGTAGCACCTGTCAATGTGCAACTGCAAGCGTAGGTAAGCTAACGTACAAACAAGTCAGCCTTGCCTTCGCGGCCTCTGTGTGGATTGCTCTACATCGTTGGGCTCAAGCTCATCCGGAGAAACTTGAACTTTCCAATCATCGTTCACTCGCATGCCGCGTCTTGTTGCATCAGCCTTCACAGCATCATTCCGTGGGCTGGCGCCTCTGCCAGGACTCCTTGGACTGAAACCCCTTCCGGGACTTCTTGGACTTTGGTTCCTGCCAGACCTGCCCGGGCTTTCCACCTTGCGAACTGTCGCAATGTCCACACGCGTTCCGTCAGCAAGGCGGGCAAAGCGAGCCGGTGTCTGCTGCAGTCTTGCCGTAGTCAGTCCTGGCCCAGAGCTTGGAGCGCCGTCAGATCTCGGACTTCTTGGGCTGCTGTTCGGACTGTTGC